AACCCCCCTGCTTACCGGGGGGGGGGCCAATTGCCCCACTCCCGCAGGGGGGGGATGGACCCCCCTCACGGGGGGAAAACCCCCCCCCCCCCCCCCCCCCCCTCTCTTACGCTGGCGTCCGTCACCCTGCAGGCTGACGCGGTACGTGCCCTCTCTGGTCAAGGGCCTCGAGGGGGCGCGATCTCCCGCAATCTCACGCAATCTCACGCGATCTCACGCAATCTCACGCAGTCTCACGCGATCTCACGCAACCTCCCGCAACCTCCCGCGATCTCACGCAATCTCCCGCGATCTCACGCGATCTCACGCAATCTCCCGCTTAGGTCCGCGTGCGCGCGCTTTCGGCCGGTTCTGCGCATACCCTCGCCATCTCGGAGCAGGGCCGGCTGTACGCGTGGGGGCTCTGCTCCGCCGGCCGGCATGCCGCCCTAGACCCCCTTGCACTCTCCCACACTCCCCCACAGTCTCCCGCAATCTGCTCCGCCGGCCGGCATGCCGCCCTTCACCCCACCGCACTCTCCCACACTCTCCCGCAATCTCGTGACTAGGCTCGGTACAGGGATGGGGCCGTGGTTCGACGCGGGCTCGACGGACGTGCCTCACGAGGTGATCTTCCCTGATCTCCCTCACGATATCTCCCGTATCTCCCGTATCTCCCCGTATCTCCCTCGCGAAGGTGATTGTGGGCGCCGCCGACCGGCGCCTCGACCGGCGCGGGCGCGACAGCGGCGGAGAGTGGCGGCCGGCGGCGGAGCGGGTGGCGGCGGTGTCGGCGAGGGCAGCGGCGCGCGCCGCTGACCCGTCCCCGACACGTCCGCGACACGTCCGCGACACGGCGAACCTCTAGGCGGGCACCGGCGGGCACTGCGTCGCGGTGACGGAGGACGGTCGTGCGTGGGGGTGGGGTCGCTCCGAAGCGGACGGCGCCGACGCCTAGAAGATCGGAGCACGGACTCTTGTGTTCCCACGCGCGCGAGAGAGGACACGCACTCCGCTGTACTCGGCCGTATCCCGCGGTCTCGACCGTCTCTACCCCCTTGCCTCCACGCGGTGCTCCGAGGAGACTTTTCCACGAGACACGAGACCGCCCCTCTCCCGCCAGCGTCGGCGTGATCGTGGCGTTAGGCGGCGACGCGCCCCTACCCCCACGGTACCCGAACCCACCCTCCCCTACCCCACGGTACCCGCCACCCACCCTTCCAGGCGGCGACGCGCCCCTCGGGCTTGTGCGCCGTGAGGCGGGCTGCCGCGAGGCGCACCGCGAGCCCGCCCCCGGCGAGTGGGCCAAGCGGCGATCGCACCGCCACTTGCGTCAGTGCGCCGAGCCGCGCGCGTTCGGCCTCGAGGTAGCGAGCCGCGGGTGCGCGCGTTTGGGGAGAGGAGCCGAGAGGGGGGGGGGGGGGGGTCCGACTTTGGTCGAGAGGTTCTCCAACTCGCCTCCCGATCGGAGCATCTCCCCACATCTCCCCCCAGATCTCCCGGACATCTCCCCGGGCATTTCCCCGGAAAAATGCCCCCACATATCCCCCCAAATTTTCCCGGTGGCACAGACCCCCCTAGTGCCGCCGGCCGGTTGACAAACCGTCGCGGCCTTGGTCTGGCCAACGCCGATAAGCTTGAGGTCCCGGTTTCCTTGGGGGGGGGGGGTGGGCCCTCCGGGCTTACCCCAACCGGGGGGGGGGGGGGGAC